CTTTATGTTGGCAGATACCAAGGAGTTCCAGGAGAAGCAACAGAAACAATGCCAGAAGCACCTGTGGAGAAAGAGTAAAAGTGAACTTGACTGAGCATGGGTAAGAACTCATGTTTGAGCCAAACTCATGGCAATAAGGGAAGTGAAGCATTTTTATTTCTCTACCTTTATTATCCCAGTGGCCCTGTTTAAGATTATTCATTCCCTGCTGGGAGGCTGAGCAGGATCATCTGTCACCTGATCCCTGTGATGATGTTCGTGCCAAAATCTTGACTCATCAAAGGTGGTCTCTATAGTGATGACTGGACAATGTTCTGCATCCTTCTCTGGGATTCATTCCACCTTGTGGACTTTGAAAAAATGGATAGGATCTCTGCAACCTTTAGGCCTTACCTAAAAGAAAAGAATATGGCAGTGGTAACTCATGCCCTTATAGACTACTGCCCTGTAATTTATTTGGGACTGCCTCAGAAGCTGCAACTGATGCAGAATGCAGTGGCTTGCATGCTGATAGGTGAGGCTCATCACAGTCAATTATGTCTTTACTGTGGCCACTGCATTGGTTGTCAGTAGGCTTCTGGGTGCAATTCAGTGTTAGGTTTGACTTTTAAAGCCATTAATAGATTGGCTCCTAGCTACCTGCAGGGCTGCGTTCTCCAAGTAGAAATTATTTGTCCAGTATGCTTGTTCTGAATGGGAATGCTACAGATTCTCACTGCATGAGAGGTGAGGTTGGTGGGGGTATGAAAATATGTTTTTCAGTGGTGATTTGGCATTATAAAATAGACTCCACCTCAGAAGTAATCTTGGTTCTCTTTGGAAAAGCCTTTAAGACAAAGTTATTCCATAAGTCCTTTGGAAGTTGGGGTCACCTGTACTTTGGAAGTTGATGTACCCTGTCTGATTATTGAAACGATCTTTGAATTCTGGCAGTATATAAATATAAATACAGTAAATACATATAAACATAAAGATACATACATCTGGTTAATTCTAATTTTATTTTTCTAAAATGCCAGTTTCAAACAAAATGTCAGTAGCTGCAAAAACTCTGAAATACATGACATTTTTTTCCTTTTTTTTTTTTGTTTGTGAAAAAGTTCTACTATGTGAAAATTTACTACAAATGAAAGCCACTTGGGGAAAAGAAGAGTGCAGTTCATTGGAAGTGTTCTTGCATAACTGCTGATTTTATTAAATTAGTTAACAGATTTATAAATCGTAATTCAACCATAAAAATTCCAAGTGTGGGTTGTTAAGAAAAAGGCATGCGTCCTGTTCTAAGGTTTATAATCTAAAAAGAAAAGGAAATGGAATGGAATAGAGTGGGAAAAGGAAAACCAAGAACATTCTGGTACCAATTCTTAATATTTTTTTCCCACCACGTTTCTCATAGTGGTATATATTTGGAAATATTTTTTGTTAAAATATATCATACTTGTGATTTATGCAAGGTGATCCATTGACTTTATCTCCTAAAAATTTAAATTTTAGCACTTAGATTGTTTTTGAACAAGTTCCATGTTGTTGAATTTCTTGTAATCTCTTGGGTGTGCTAGGCACAGAAAGTCACTGTGCTTTTCCCTTTAAATGAGTTTTTCTTAGCATTTCATATCTATAGCATATGTTCAGACTTCAACTTTTTCAGCTTCTAGAATCCCAGTGTTGTTTGCTCCCAATATATCTTATAGCTGATATGGGGAATTTCAATTTGGGGAAAAGTTCAGGATGAAGTTTTATTTAAATGTAACAAAAACACACATTTCAATATACTGATATTTTATTTATGTAAGCTACTTTCCTCGGAGAGTTGGGCCCTAAAGATAATATAAATGTTAGGTAAATGTAAATATATTAAATATTTCCCCTTGTCTCATGCCAGAATGAACTGAGTAGTTTTAAGTCATTGCAATAGCCTCCTACAGTATAATACTCCATATTATATGACCATGATAAATTACTAATGTTATAACGTGTTCATATGAAAATAACAGCCAGTCATAAATGTGCCATAATATAAATGTAGCAACTGATAAATTGCCCTGACCTAATTGTATAACACTTATGAAAACTGGGCAAATATGTATCAATCAAAGTGATGATGTGGTTAATACCACTATATGCCAGAAACAGGATTGGACTAACAGTTGGACTAAGGGAAAAAATATTTTTTTAAAAAATATTTGTTCTAATATACAAAAGAACAAGAATATAAAATTAGGAAAATGCATAAAACATCTAACCCTTTCCCAGTGCATTGTATTAAATAAAATTCTGCTTAACTGTCAATCAAAATAATTAAATCTTGACAGCATGAAAAATATTAATCAGCCCTTCTGTTACGTCTGGTAAGAACCTGCTCATAAATAGAGAGCAGACACATACTGAGATCCTAAATCTGGAGAGCCTAAATCTGGAATAGCCTATTTTTTCAGCCCTGAACTGTGCCTCGGATTTGATAAATTCACACTTTTCATAGAGATGAGTTTGAAATTTTGAGCATGTAATTGAAAAATTACATGCTCAAAATTACACTCACATCTTTAAACTGTAATGATTTAATCTAATCTAATGGATATTGAACCAAAATGGAAGATTAATATGACCGTATCATATGAGTAAGTATCCTCTCATCCATTTTTCATTCCCAACATGATGAAGTAGGTCATGCTCCTCTAGATGAAACTAGTCTATAGAATGTATTGCTAGTTTGCTACTTTAAGTGTACTTATACTTTAATATAATGCTGGATTGTCAAAAAGAACTCAACAATTTTATTTATTTACCAGATTTATTTGTCACCTCAGTTGAGTATGACTAAGTGATGTACAATATCCAAACATGATAAAGCAATATAATAACAATATATAATAACACAAAATAATGCTAATTAGAAAAAAAAACGTTCTGGCACTGGTGACTCCCCATTGATCCATCCCCAAGTCCTTCAAGCAAAATTTTTAGATGTTTCTATAAGGTGGTGATTATGGGAGAGCTACTCTTTCTTGAGGACAGGCTGTTCCAAAGGAGGAGAGTCCTCAAAAACACCCCCAAGACCCTAATTATATTTTGAAATGGGCCCCTCAAGAACAGCAAGAATCTAACTTCATTTTAAAATGACAGGCACAAACCTAAAATGCTATACAGTGGTACCTCTAGTTACGAACTTAATCCATTCCGTGACTCTGGTTGCAACTCGA